CAACAGACACTATTGCTGCAACGCAAGACAGAGTGAAGTGGAGGTCCATGATCGCCCACGCCAGTCGGCAAGGCACCGGATGAATGAATGAATGAATAATGAGCACACCGGTCTTTATCAGACAGTCTAGATTGTTGGTTTGAGTAAAAAAGAAACACATCAACACATTTATGGCTATTTAGCGCTGGGAAAAAGTAAGAAAGACAGAAACAACAGGCGGAAAGTAAAGAAGTAGGACCTACCGATGTCGCCCTCCCACGATTATTAATGTTAAAGTCTTCTTATCCATCCGTCTCCGAAACTAAGCTATACCTAAGAGTTCGTAAGACAATTGCAATCTCTGAGAAAATTGTCTAATTTTTTATTTTTTTTAAAGTTTGAAATTGCTTTTCTTCAGATTCAGATGCAAATCCTACCTTCCAGCGAGGCTAATTGCTTTCCTTTTTTTCTGGTTGTGTCTCATTTATAAGAGGCAGTTTGTTTGAGCACACGTTGGTTGATATCGTTTGTAAGAGATAGAGAGAGGGTGTAAAATATTATAACTGTTATCCCGGGCCTTTGTGAAACAATCGATAATAAAAACACTTTCTTTCGGAAGGCGAAGAGCCTCTCCACCATCTTGTTAAAAACTGAGACAGGAACTTTTATGCTGAACTCGACTTTGCAATTCATTTATTCATCTTGACGCTTTGGCTACAGTGCCGAAGGGTCATATAGTGAACTATCTTCAAGTACCGCTGAAGCCATGGTAGAATGTTTTTTATTAATTTTTAAAACCTCGGCGACCTAAACAAAAACATGCTGTAAAACTTCAGAGAGGTTCATCAACCATTCAGCTATCATACAGAATGATTTCCTTTGGTATTTACTTCAGTGCAGTGCGTCCATTCGTCGTTTAATTATGTTTAGTATGCCTGATCGCGTCGGTGGCTAAAGTCGCGAGCGGTAATCTGCGCATACTACAGCCTGGCGCCTTAAGTCGCCGACGGTACAGTATGTTTTTAATGTATAAAACTAACAGCATCATAGTAGAGGTTTATCTGAGAACTTCCATGGTTTAAAGTAGACAGTGTAGTGATTTTACTCTACAGAATCATGAAAGAAAAGAGCTATACATCTTGTTAGTACCAACTTTGAGATTTACGTTAGCTCATTTGCGGAAATTATAGCAAGATTATAGGTTTTCATTCAAAATTTCAAAGTGACCAATCTTGACATTTTATGACATAGATCTAACGCTTGTTACAAAAAGTTGCCCTACATAAAGTGTGGGTGCTTTGTGTTGCAGCTAAAGGTGGTTACATAGGCGTAGCTTACTGTCAGTAAGCCCCTTACATATTTTACATATATATATATATATATATATATATATATATATATATATATATATATATATATATATATATATATATATATATATATATATGAGTACGTTCAAAGTGAGGTATATATTTGAAGACTTACAAAGTGTAATTTATAAGAAGAAAATGTATTTCTATCAGTTTGTTTGTTTATTTGTTTGTTTTCCATACTTCTTTAATCATCTCTTTTTATTGAAGAAGATGGCCTACCCTTTCTTTGGATAATGAATCCAATTCGAGGTCTACACAAGACCATTCAGAACCCGTGGACGTGTACAAGGGAGGGAGAACAGAGACAAACGTTTCAAGTGCTAGCAGCTCAAGCTACTTCCGTTTCACTTCTCTGCCCACTTAGACTTCCCCCATTCTCCTTTTGCGTTCTCTTGTATCAAAATCTTGGTGGGCGGCAGTAGTACTGCAAAACAAACTCAAAACGTAACAGAATAGATCCACTGTGTAACTGTAAATACATGCTGTGTTGCGGTTGCTGTTTTTCTTTGTAGAGGTGGCGTTATCGTTTTTGTGTTCCTGGTTCTAAATCATTTATCTTGTTGTTCTGTTGTTTTTGTTGCTTAAACATTAGTTGCTGTGTCCACGACGTTGGTAGTGCTGCTGTTATAAGCATTACTGTTGTCACTCTAAGTGGTTGGAGTTGTAGCCAGGTAAGATTATGTTGTTCTCACTAGCAGGGTCGATCAAAATGGGAAGGCTTGTTTCGTCCCCTCCCCCTCACCCTCACCCCCAACACAAACACACACACACACACATGACACACACACACACACACACACACACACACACACACACACACACACATTTTGAGGTATTTTCATATCTCAGCTGTGATGCGCCATCTCATGCGATTATTTTGGTCTTGATTGAGAGGGTCGAACCTGAAAGATGACTAAAAAATGGTCTAAAGTGTGTCGACAAGGACGTACATTTACGACCACCAGTCTGTTCCAAGCTACGACGTCCGCTTTGCGTCTCCGTATATTCAAGTGAATGCGTGAACACGTCGTTGACTTCGTGAACATGACAATGTAACCCCATGCATCGCATTTCATGCAGAGAGAGAGTATTAATGATCCATGAATGGGTCCACAGCAATGGCTATCTAGTCTTATAAATCTTTAAAAGTTCGTGATAGATAGATAGAGAAGCGCCCATGACATAATAGAGTACTTAGTGTATTTCTTCAGAGTCTTACAAATAGGGAAATTTGTGATTAATCTATCTATATTATTAGAAACAAGATTAAGAAAGGCAGCAGCAATCATTGAAAAATCGTGATTCATTTGTATGATGAAGTTGTATGAGTTTGAAACCACACTCGAGGTTGACGTCATGCTTTAAGTGTAATGATTTAAATACTCGGCATCCGCAGGATATGTTTCCCAACACACATGCGTGTGTCAGAGTGCGTCATACGTTGAGACAATCATCTTTGCACGTCTTCGTACTCCCGCACACATTGCTCACCGAGTGTCACCGTCTACTTGGCGTTTGAGTCACAAGCACGGGTTACAACACACTAAAACATTTTATTGCAACTTTTCTTTTGATAGATCTATGAATATCTGCAGCGTTCCCGGTATCTTTTATTCAGAGAAAAAACGGATACACTCTGTATGCGTGACATCAGACTTACTCTTTGCAGGTGTTTAAAAAATAGGGCATGAATAGATCTATAATATATGAAGTCAGTGGTCTGCAAAAAAATCACTATGAAATCATATCTGATGGTAATTTCATTCACTGGCTCGTTCTTGGCACTCAGACCCCAAAACTTTCAATCTTTTCGAAACACTTGGCTCTTATATTATAATAAATTTATATTTTTACGATTTGTTTTTCCTGTAAATTAGTGAGGTTCAATGTATTTTTTTATTCGATAGTTGCGTGTACCTGACGAACCTTGCTTGATCATCTTCTTTCCCTCCTATACTGATACTTTCATACCAGCAATTGTCAACGGTTTCTCCTTCTTTCAACGCAGGCGACTGTGAACGGCCTTTTTATATTGTTTTCCTCATGTAAGTACAGTTGATGCTCAACGCTTTCAACTTTATATTATTACAGTACTAGCTCATGTTGTCCCCTCAATCACTTCGTTTTTTCATTCCAAGTGTCGTCTTTCCTTATTTACCATTCTAATGAACACCCTTTTCCGTGCATTATCAGTTCTTTTTTAGTGCAGACCTACTTATAACATCTCATGTGATTACAATTGTTGCGCGTTGCTTTAAGAACAGTACTCTTTCTCTCTTTTAGTATTATTATACATAACTTAAAAAAGGTAATTTAGCACAAAATGCTTCAAAATACTGTTTCTTGCGGTTGAGGTGTTGTTGTGTTTGTTTCTGTTGCCATCGCTATTGACGAGTGTGATCGTTATTGTTCTAAATGTTCCACTTCGAGTCATATTTACTTTCAATCGTATGTATAAAAAAAGTTTAGATTTGGTTCTGTATTGAGTTCTTTATTTAAATTTGCCTTTAAATGATAGCATTTTCATCATCAACATTAGGTTGTTATCTTGCTTTAAAAAATGAGGTTATGGTACGGAAAACTATAATCGTTTCCTTTTTGTTCGTTTGTTTTTGTTGTCGTTTTCATTATTTTATTTTCGTTTTTTGTTTAGTTGTTTTAAGAGGGAGGGAGGGTTATGGGTGGGGGGGGGATTCATGTATATGTCTTTTTTATTTACAATCGCAAGCATCATTTGTAGCGTTGTCTGAAAGTTCGAGATGCTAAGTTGTCAGTTTAATGCAATTCAGCCTAAGAACCCCCGCACATGCTCCTTTAGGCGATAATCATTTATATAACTGTATTAAGAAACATTGATTTTTTAAAACATTTTAACCAAAGCCTTCTTTTTGGAAGTTGTTTCGAAACACGGACGTTTTTCGACAGATTGGAGACAGCAAACTAGGATAAAATTCTTCCTCTTTTGTGTTGCATGTCCCATTCAGAACGTAGTCTTCCTGACAAACTCTCTGAAAGCTGAAACGTTTTCTCATCTCCCTGCGCCAGCTTCGGTGACACTCGTCTCCAGTTACTCACTCATGTCCTGGCTCCATTTTCTTTTGGCGCGTCGTCTGTTGCTTTTTTCGGGATGATATTGTCAAAAAATTGTTATCGTTCTTCCGGGATATTTGACACGTATTTGTTTTGTTTTCTTTTTTCTTTTTTTCAGAAGTCTACAGTTGAGTCATGGTGCTACTCCTTGCTGTAGCTCTCACCTTCATAACGGCGGTATCTCTTGCCGCCATTCTTCGGGTCATCTATCCACCTTTGTGGCGTGACGTGTACACTCTATTTGTGTCGTATAAAGTCATCAGAAAAACGAGACAATCATGCACGACAAGGGAATTTGTGGTAGATCAGTTCGAACGCCATGCGAGGGTAACTCCCGATGCTCCTTTCATCATTTTTAAGGACTCGACCTTTTCTTACAAACTCGTTGATCTGCAAGCCAATCGAGTAGCTCGTGCACTGTTGGAGTACGAGATTTCCTTGGGAGACACGGTAGCGCTTGTCATGTCCAATGAACCAGCTTTCATATGGCTGTACTTAGGTACGTTACTTACTTTTATTTCATTTTCACAAGGTGCATTTTTGTCACTGATAAGTTAGCACAATCATTATCCACTCTAATGATCTTCTCGTCTTCCCATCATCTGATGCAGCACTTGTAGGTCCTACTTCTTTTAACTCCCCTTTCTGCCAGTTGTTTCTGTCTGCCTATTTTGCATTTCTTCTGCACTAAATGATCGTTATCTGGTTGATTTGCTTCTCTTTACGAAGACTCTACTAAAACTTCCTTTTTTCGTCCATCCATTATCTTTCTCATACACCTAATGTTCATCTACTCAACTGCTCCCATATACCTGCACCTTCAATGGCCGTGTCACGACGCGGTGGAATCAGGCGCTCGTCAATTTTGGGGCATATGGAGTTATTGGTATTATATTAAAGCCCATCCAAGTCAGGATATTGGCCATTGAAGGAGGTGGGTGTCGCCCAATTTCAACGTTAACATTTGCGAGAAAATGGCTGCCAAAGTTGAGTTATTTTCTTAGCTTGAGGGTCCGTGGAAACTGGAGATACTCACAGAAATATGTTTTTAAAGGGCATGAAAGGTGTTGAGCCCAAAAAAAAAATTTGATAAAAATTCCCATACCTGATTTTAAAAATGCCAGTTTCTTGACCTTCTTTATTTTGACAAGCGCCTGATTTCACCACGCCTCATGATTGTGTACGTGTGTTCGTGTGAGTGCATTTTTTTCTATATGAACCAACGCAAATCAGTTTGAAAACAAACCTCAAGCAGTGGGGTTTAGGGGGCTATACTTTTAAAAAATTGTTTTCTTGTTTG